TTTTTTTTTTTTTTTGAGAGACAAGGTGGCAATATGTTGCCCAGACTGGAGTGCAGTAGCACAATGATAGCTCACTGCAGCTTTGAACTCCTGGGCTGAAGAAATCCTCCCACCTCAGCCTCCTGAGTAGCTAGGACCACTAGTGTGCACCACCACACCCAACTAATTTTTAAAATTTTTTATAGAGATCAGGTCTCACTCTGTTGCCCATGCTGGTCTCTAACTCCTGGTCTCAAGTGCCTTCTGCCTCGGCCTCCCAAAGCATTGTGATTATAGGTGTGAGCCATCACAGCTGGCCCATGCTTCTGTTTAAACACTTTTTGCCATGGAAATGATTTGGTACTGTCATCTCGATAACAGACACTGATAAACAGCTCTTGGGGTAGAAACTTTGCCTAGTTCCTTTCATATCTCCATTTCCCTTCTGCAAATGCTCAACATATGTTTGATGAACTTGAATTTTTTATTTAAGGTAGTAATTTTAGCACTTCTACCTTAACACAAACTATGAGCTAATTATATTATTATAGATAAAACTTACAGCACAAGCGGCTATGCCACTCGGTTGTTACTTAAGACATGCTGAAAATTTTCTATGATTTTAAAATATTTTCTGGAGACTCCAGTGTTTTCAATTTTGAGTAAATAAGACCCTCATGGTATCTCTCACAAAATGCTACTGAGTGACAGAGAGTGTCCCGAATGAACACCACAGCCTCACTAACTGAGTATGTAGCAGAGTCGGTAGGTAGGCTCCTTTTCCTGTGACAATTACTTTTCCTTTCCCACAGTTTGAAGCAATTAAATACTTAGGAAGTGCGCCTGTAATCCCAGCATTTCGGAAGGCAGAGGCAAGCGGATCACCTGAGGTCAGGAGTTTGAGACCAGCCGGGCTAACATGGTGAAACCCCGTTTCTGCTAAACACATACACACACAAAATAGCCAGGCGTGGTGACATGCGCCTGTAATCCCAGCTACTGCGGAGACTGAGAATTGCTTGAATCTGGGAGGTGGTGGTTTTAGTGAGCTGAGATCCTGCCATTGCACTCCAGCCTTGGTGACAAGAGTGAAACTCTGTCTCAAAACAAACAAACAAACAAACAAATGGAGTGCATTTGACTCTTACGGGATGTTTTAATGGAGCACAGCTGTTTGATTATCCGCATTAAACCAGACTTTGTTCTTCTATTGTTCCTTCCAACTTTGTTTTAATAGTTCAGGATGGATGCAGCAAAATTAGTGTCTGTTTGTATATTACGTTTATAAATAAAAACTCGTGTAGAAAAGTCCATGTGGGTTAACAACACTCAGAACAACTTGTGGAACTCCAGACTAGAGCACACCCATCCCATAATCTGCTGAGGAATCATTGTCTACTTAACTGCTCCTGTTTATTAAACCTATTAATTGCATTTGATACTCTGTCTGCGTCAGTGGTCATTACTCATTAACTTCTCTACTCAAACCAGTGTGCCAACTTAAGGTTTTACTGTGACAGTGAAGGACTCCACCGTACCCACGCCAGAGATCACGAGGATAGGCCCCGTTGAGATGAATATTGAATATCACCCACAGCCATTCCTTCAATAGAGTAAGCGGTATGGAGAAAAACAGGAGAAAAAAAATCTGTCAGGAAGCAAGGTTTGGAAAACACAGAGTAGTCAAATATTAGAAGTACTCTGATAACTCCTTCAAGATTATTTTGGTCCTCTCACCTCTTCCTACGTGCTATGACTCAAGGGCATAAAATTGTTGATGCCATTTCTGCAGGAATGATAAAGATGGAGGGGTCCTCTTTTGCCTTCTCCCATTATTACAATATCCTGACTTTTATCAAACTAATTTCATTATGGGAAGAACTGGAGGCTCTCCGTTGGTGGATAAAATACAAGGCAATTCATTTTAAGACTTTGTGAGATGAAAGCATGTTAGTGGGAGCCCTGGATGGGAAAGGAAATAGACTGTCCACACTGGCCAGCGGCAATGAGGAAACAGCATAAACACAAGAGGGGTGGAGGCTGGAATTACAAAGGGAGGGTGCTGAGGACAACTTCTGAAAATGGAGAGAGTAATAAGCCAAGCAGAGGGAACAATGATAAACTTAAGCTATTTAACCATTTTACATAGTGTTGCCTTGTACATGTGGAGGAAAATCAGAGGGAGAAGCAGTTTGTAATGCAATATTATTCATTAAATTGTACCAGTGCCAGGAAAGTAATTTAAAACCAAAGCAATGTTACCACTGAATTTTTATCAAGTCATCGTTTTATCTGCATAAACAGAGAAATGACCACACATGATTGCAAATGTTGTATCTAACATAGGTAAGAAGAGGATTAACACCCAGGGGTGGGGGACCGGTGGCAGTGAGCTAAAGCAAGCTCCTAGCCAACAAAGCAAAGTGGACATCAAATTGCAAGCCTTAAACTGCTCTGCTCAATGGCATGTTTTGACTTGTGACACCGGTAAGCTCCCCAAATATTTTTAGGACTTTACTGGAAGTGTCAAATGGAGCAAAAGCTTAAGATTTCACTGAAGGTTTAGTAATACAGCCATGAGATTAGAGCTGTGCCCAGGAAGCCTGAAGAGACGAGCAAATTGCAAGGCTTTATTCAAGTCAAACGATTTCAGTTGCTGTTACTTTTCTGTTAGGCTGAGATAAATACAGGTAGATTAACAAACAAACTCATAGATATTAGAGACAGACAGATAATCTAGTGGTTAAAATTCTAAGAAGACTTGTACCAGGCTATTTGCATGTGAATTCCAGTTCTGAGGCTTACTTGATGTGTAAGCTTAGGCAAGACATTTCATACTTCTCCTGCCTTAGTTTCTTCATTTTCAAAATGCAAATTATCGAATTTTACCTCACAGGATTGTTGTGAGGATTAAATGAGATAATGTACAGTGTTTAAAATGATTTCAGTTAAACAATGCTCAATAAATGATATTATATATTTGAATATTTTAATCAGATAAAAGGCAGTAATACTACATTGCATTTCTTTATTCACACTCTTTGGGGCAAGTAAGCACCCTCATATGGTACTCTCATTCTCTGGGAGAATTTCTCCCAGATCGTTCTAAATTGATCCAACCCTGAGGCTTTCAGCCTTCCAAAGAATGAAATCAGTGCCTCTGGTGACATAAAGGCCAGGGGCTCCCTGTATAATATTCATGGTACTCCAAGCTTTGCTGGCTCTCTTAGCTTTATAGAAACAATATACAGAATTAACAACTTTCATCGCAGCCCTGGGTTTTTAAATAAACTTTTAAGAAAATACTACGTATCTCTTTTTAATTCTCCAGTCACTTGTTTTTTTCTTATGATTTTATTTCAAAATAGTATAGATTTAGCTTTGCCAATTTATTTTAGGGTTTCAGTCTCCCACAGCTTAACATTTGGCCCTCTCTGGAACACATATCCCTTTCAAATATTGCCCATGCTCTTTTAAAGTATCATTAGAATTAAATGTTATAAGTTATAAGTAGTTGTACTGTTAGGAAAAAGAATCTGATTGCCCCCAAAAATGTATAGAAATAGGTTCATAATAGCTTTAGGGACATGATTTTGTCTTTAAGCAACCCAGAAAATGAGATGCTAGTTTATTTCTGAGAACTTCTAAAGGAGATTTCTAAATCTCCTCTGGTGGCAGCTTTACAGTGATATAAATAATCATTCCTAGTGGGATGAGAAAAATGCTGAGAATCAGACAGTGGTTCAATCACAGGTACCTCCAAACCCAACTTCCCAAATCACTGCAGCTGGGATGCCAAGGTTGGGGTGGGGCGTGGGGCTGAAATTTCTATTCTGAAATCACCACATTGACTAAAACCAAACAGATAATTTTTAAAAGTCTGACTTTTTTGGACATGGATGACTTAGATTTGCTGTCCATATCGACCAGACTTCTTAAACTTCACAACTTCACTTGAACTATTCAAGAATCATTGATGATTTTTTCCTTAGAGTTTTCAAAAGTAAAGTCACTTGACTCAGTTGCTCCAAAAAGTCCAGTCAGAGGTTTAAAGCTAGTATTGAGGGATAAGATATCAGCTGATACTAAATCATACTGCTCTGAAAATAATATAGTTTAGGATTGCATGCTGTGGAAAAGACGATTAGCCGCCCTCTGAAATCCATTCTTCTCTTAGGCACATAGTTAGACTGCATTTCCCAGACTAAGACTGCATTTAGTTAGGTGAAACACGAGCTCAAGTTCTATACTGAAATGTGAGCAGAAGGTCTGCCGTTATTGGGCAGGGGTTTTTAAAAGAGTAGCCATGCCCGCTCCATGTTCTTTTTCTCTTTCTGCTCGACAAAAAGGAATCCAGCAGTTCTAGGGAAGGAGCTCCCTGCTGAAGACGGCAGAACTTCTGCCAGTCAGGTTTTCAAATGCCTGCATACAGAAGAGGTACCAGCAACAAGGATCTTGCCTTGGACTGATGTACGGGTAAGGAATATGCTTATACTATATGTAAGTTTGGCTTTATTTATTAGTTTAACATATCTTAACATTATATATATATACACACACACACAAATATATATATTTGGCTTTATTTATTAGTTTAACATATCTTAACTATGATATATGCCATATTTTAAAGTTACACACTCTTACTAAAATCACATGGGAGCAGAGACATCTTAACTTCACTTTCATGCTTTTTACTTTGCCAAAGGTGCTTTCACATGCATTATTGCTTAGGAGTCTCACAACAACCTACGAAAAACAGCAGCTCTAAAAAAAATTATAATTTTGTTTTCAAATATTACTGCAGTAAGATAACTAGAAAAGCCACAAGTTAAATTAAGAGAAATAAACATATTTTTCAAACTTTTGATATTTTGCAATAGAAAATTCCACAGAACTACAAAAAAATCAGATTTTTAATTTCAAACTTGAGTTGATAATAAATATGCTTTGAAGATTTGTTTCAGTGGTCCAAATTACCAATAAGAAAATGTTACACTTAATGTAATAATTGCCCTTACCTGCCAAAGATGACATATTGATAATGATGCCGCCTTCACCTCCATTTTGCTTACTCATGTAATCCAAACCAAGATAGGTTCCACTGATAACAGAAACCTAATCCAGGGGCATAAGTGAGAAAAGGAACATAGTCATTATCCTTCACCATATTTTCACACACCAAAGTTTTTATAGCTATTCCAGATACCTAGGGAGATTTCTGCAACTATTACCAATGAAAGGTTTTAAAAGAGCTTTGTTTTTAAAGTTAGTCATTAAACCTGGATTCTTTTTGTTTGCCTAATCATTGTGGAGCTTGTCATATATCTGCAAAACTTCACTTAGTGGCCCAATATGAGATTTTACGCTACAGGATGTATTCCAAAAATGTCTGTTACTTTCACTCAATTCTCAACATCGTCAATAATTCCATATATTCTTTTTGTTTTCTAAATGTTGGACACAAAATTTATTTAACCTTCTTCTCTGCATATGGTTCTCATGTCTCAGTATTCCACACTTATCTACTCTGTTTAATTCTCTTGGATCTTGGAATATAGAATAGTGCTTACCCTTGATTTCCTAGAGATTTAATTTTCTCTCTTTTTCTTTCTAATAAAAATTCTATTTTGCTCCTGTATCTACCTCCTCTCCACACAATACAGAGGAAGGTGGTCTGCCCAAATGTAATGTAGACACTGATTAATTCATTTAATTCAGTCATGGAAATCCCATTCTCCTTGACAGTGGCTGGTTTCAGAACCAGCAAGTAACCCAGTTTTGGTCAGTGAGACCTGGAAGGCAATCAGCTACAGATGGGAACAGGATGGATGCTACTGAGAAATTTTTTGTTGCTCTTAAAAAAATCAGAAGAAACGGCTACATTGCCTGCTCTATGTGAATGTCATAACTTAAATGGACAACCCGTATTTCCTAGTATCCTAAAGATGAAACCGACATAAAGAATGGTCAGTGGGAGGGCTGACAGGACTCCGGACCCTGATGATATCATCACGGAGCAATCCTGAACTCCGTGTCGTGTGAAATCACATAAATGTTTTATCCAGTTTAAGTGGTGATTTTCAGTTTGCTGGACATCTGGTCTTTAGTAATGTCTATCACTAAATTTTGTTAATCACTGTTTACAGCTATCCTTTTGATAGTTTACTGTTTTGCCACTTATATCCAAGTGTAGGCACTTTTCCTGTTTTATTTTAATCGCTACCAAAAAAAAAAAAAAAAAAAAGAAAGAAAGAAAGAAAAAAAAACCTGTGAGATCAAATTGATATTTCAGACCTTAGTTTTCCTTTTGAATTTAAGAATTCCTATCCCTTCCAGCTCAGACTTTTAAAAAAGGAAAATTCTTTTTTGACATCTTAATTCCTATTTTTTTCATGCTTTACAATACTGCAAAGAAAACGATACAATAGGTAACAAGTCTGAAACAGAGGTTACACAGGTGTTTACCTTGTTTTTATCTTACAAATTTCCTTTGAAGTGTTTTTTTACAAGGATTCAGATATACTTCTCCTACCTAATAGTAGCTCTAGAACAAGAAAGGAAATCGGAGATTCTATTCACTTAAGTCATGTGTCAGTTTGATATTAAGTAGGCTTAGAGAGAATGAATAAAATCTCCACATGATTTTCTTTAGAAAGGAAAACCAAAACATTAATTGTTTATATAAGAAGAAAAAGATGTAGATGGCTGAAGTTACTGAAGCCAGTTAGATTCTGTTAGTTTCTGCAGAAGTTTCCAGCATGTCTGAACAGAACTTCTGTTCATGCGTATTGGCACTATGCTTTTATTTTCAGGTATTACAGCTTTGATGACACCCCACTGTTGTGTTTTCAACATGAACAAGATGAAGTCAGACAGAAAATTTGGGAATATTTAAGATTTATTTTTAAAAAGTAATATTTATCTTTAGGTCTTTGGTGGAGGAAGGCAAGGGATTATTTTTCTCATCCATTATCAGGTTAAGAACTGGGCAATTATTCAAATGGAAGAGTTCAAAGGATGAATCTACAAGACAGGGTCTAATGCTGTGTAGAAATGATATTTTTCACTTTTCCTCCTTTATTATAACAATGTATTTCTTATTCTAGACTATATATGCATGCGTGTGTGTGTGTGTGTGTCTGTATATTATATATGCTTCACCATGTTGGCCAGGCTGGTCTCGAACTCCTGGCCCACCTCGGCCTCCTGAAGTGCTGGGATTACAGGCATGAGCCACTGTGCCTGGCCAGAAAATGTAGATTTTGATGCTCTGGAAGGGAAGTGTAATTTATTGAATGAATTCTATGCAGTGGCACTGTGCTAGATGTTCACATAAACTGTGGTTTATTTAAGCATAATAGTCCTTAGAGATAGGGAGTTTACATTCCTCCATGGGAAGTTCAATATAACAGAAATTTAATTAAAGTTTATAAGTTATAGATTCGGGACTGGATTCTAATTTTGACTAATCCCAAAGAAATATATTTCCCAGTGCAAATCTTTAGTCAATAAGTGCATTTCAGAAAAAAAAAAAATGACTATCAATATTCATCTATTTTGTTTAAATCTTATTTGAACATATTGACCCATTTTTGCCTAGTGTTCCATTATTGGAATACTAAGCATGTGAGAGTTCTTTATATCCTACTGCTCAAGTTCATCGCCAAGGTCTAATTTTTAACTCATGCAAAAATTCAAAATATTGCAACCTCTGGCATAAACGGGTTAAGGAATTCAACGTATATTAGTTAAATGTCAAAATTAGACTATAAGTTCCACATCAGTGGGGATGAACATATTTAAGTTTATTGAAACTTCAGAAAGTTACAAGACTACATGACAGAATTACCATTCTAATATTCAAAGTTAAGTTTCCCTCTGCCCAATTGCCAGCATGACTGTTGATAGTTTTGCAAAGACTCATTCTTTCCTGAACATTTCTTTTTTTTTTTTTAATTTTATTTTGTTTTTCGATATGGAGTCTTGCTCTGTCGCCCAGGCTGGAGTGTAGTGTCGCCATCTCGGCTCACTGCAAGCTCTGCCTCCAGGGTTCATGCCATTCTCCTGCCTCAGCCTCCCGAGTAGCTGGGATTACAGGCGCCTGCCACCACACCCGGCTAATTTTTAGTATTTTTAGTAGAGACTGGGTTTCACCATGTTAGCCAGGATGGTCTCGATCTCCTGACCTCGTGATTCGCCCACGTAAGCCTCCGAAAGTGCTGGGATTACAGGCGTGAGCCACCGCGCCTGGCCTCCTGAACATTTCTTCTGTGATCTGAACAGCTATAAATAATGCTGCTGTTATTGGCTTCAGACTAAGGAGGAAGTATAAAATAGCCTAATGCAAACAAAAGACTGGGAAAAGGTTTAGTGGGAAGAAGGATGAGATCAGCAAAGTGAAAAATAAGGAGTAAATTTGATAAGGAGTAAAAGTGGAAGGACAGATGATACTGTTTGGAAGAACTAATCTATTTGGAAAGCAATGTACTGAAACATAAAAGTGAATACTCTCATGTATGCAAAATATCATATACAGGTAATGGCAGTTGACCCAGTAACTATTAACTAACATCTATAAGGACACAAAACAATAGTTTTCTGCCTTGAAAGAACTTGTGGTTTACTAGCATGAATAGCATGAATTATGTATATATTAAAATAATTCTAATAAAATTTAAAAACTAGTAAGCCCTATGAGAATGGTGTAAATATGTTGTACAGTATTTCAGAAGAGGGAGAGATATATGGTAAGGTCCTTTAAGAGGTTACTCACGGACAGGGGCAGTAATACAGAAAAACATGCCAAAGAACAAACATGGAATTGTAGAAGACCCAAGGAGGCCAATTAAATCCAGAGCAGAGTTTCAAAAGAGGGTTATATAAACTACACACAGATATTTGCGTTACGATAACAGAGATAATCAAGTTGGAAGTAGGATGATTGGTCCGATTCTACTCTTGCAATGGGTTTAGGTAGGAGAGGAAGTAACATATTTTTAAGTAATACATTGGTAACAAAGTTTACATGATGTTTTCTCTATGTAAAGTTATGTCATCAGTTCCTGATGTTAAGCTAAAAAGTGGCCTATGTCAGCAGAGTCCCAAGAAAAATAAAGGCTGGATAAATTTCAATGGAGAAGGAACTAGGACTGTTAGTTTTAACTAAAGGATCACAATAAAATTCCCCTGGTCTTCCAGAACTTCCAATTTGCCCATGATATTGGCACTTTCCAGCTCAGAGCAGGTATTCACACAGGCTACATTAAAGCAAACATGCCCTCTCAGCTGAATGAAGACATCAGTGGAATTCTGTAACTTTGTAATAATTGCCTCAATATTTCCATGTTTCTTTATGTTAACTGTAATCATTGCACACTGTTTCTGACAGCTGATTTCTCAGAGAAAAGACACAGCAAGTGTCCATGAGGAAGTCACCAAATATAGGAACTATATGCTCTATTAATTTTATCCGTAAAAATATCTGTAGATATTACTGATGAAGCTATTACAAATATCAGTAGTAATGTTAAAGAGATAAACGTGTTGTGCACGTTGTGCTTTTTCACTGGGATAGCCTGGTTCAAAGAAAATCTCAAATTTAATGTGGTTTTGGAAAGTGGCATGAGTCTATATTCTTAAAAATCCCTGCAGTTCCCAATTAGCTATATTTTCAAAATGTTTGTTTTATCAAGCTACTAAAAGATGTAATGAAATACAATTCTTAATAAGTCAGGGGTAACCTCCAAAGAGTAAATATAAAATGCATAGTTTTTTTTTTTTAACCAGCCTAAGAAAATTAAAGCTATATAATGCATTTAGGTAAGAAACAGTAAAAGAATAAAAACAAAAAGAAAACAGTAAACATTAAAGTATAAATCAGAAGTTTAACTTTAAAAAAACAAATTTAAAAATCACCAAATTGTAACAATTAGCAACTTATCCTCTGAATATTATATATTTATAATATATGGAGTCTAAACTTATAGAATTACTAAAAGAGGTAGGCAAACTGACATTTGCCATTTGAGATAAGAATGCCTCTGTTGAGAAATGAACAGATCAAGGACATAAAAGGAAGCCAAGATATAGATTACACCCAAACCAAATAAGAACATTATAAGAAAAGAAAATTAAGGATAATACAATTTCTAAGTACAGAAGCACAAATACTAAATTAGGAATTTAAAAAATTCCAAGGTATATTAAACATTCATATACCATAATAATGTAAGATTTAGCCAAGAGACGTAAGTATGATTCACAGTCAGAATATCTCATTTCAATACATTTCCACCCTAAAGTAGAAGAAGGTCACAGAACTGTCTCAACTCAGGGAAATCAGCTATCAGTTCTCTCCAAACACATGGATGTATATTTGCAATTAGAATCCCAAAAAGATTTTGAGGGAAACTTGACAGTTTCAAGTTATTTTCAAATATAATGAACCAGGTACACTGGAGAAAAAGTTTTAAAAGAACTGCAAAGAAGGTATTCATACTGTAAAATAGAATCTTCTTTCTTAATTAAAAGATTTCAGGTAAAATTCAACATCCTTTCATGTTAAAAAATTCTCAACAACATAGGCGTCGAAGTAACATAAAGCGAACATCATACTGAGTGGGAAAAAGCTGGAAGCATTCCCCTTGAGAGCTGAAACAAGACAAGGATGCCAAGTCTCACCACTCACATTCAACATACTACTGGAAATCCAAGCCAGAGCAACCTGGCAAGAGAAAGAAATAAGGGCATCTAAACAGGAAGAGAGGAAGTGAAGCTATCTTTGTTTGCAAACAATATGATTCTATACATAGAAAACACCATACTCTCTGCCCAAAGGTTCCTAGAACTGATAAACAATTTAAGTTACATTTCAGGATACAAAACCAATGTACAAAAATCAGTAATGTTTCCAAACACCAATAATATCCAAGCTAAGAGGCAAATCAAGAATGCAATCCCATTTACAACAACCACAAAAAGAATAAAATACCTACGAATACAGTTGACCAATGAGGTGAAAGATTTCTACAATGAGAATTGTAAAACACTACTGAAAGGAATCAGAGTCATTATTAAATGAAAAAACATTCCATGTTCATGGATAGGAAGAATCGATATTGTTAAAATGGCCATACTGCCCAAAGCAATTTACAGATTCAGTGCTATTCCCACCAAACTACCATCATCATTTCCACAGAACTAAAAAAAAAAAAAACAACTACTTTCAAATTCATATGGAATCCAAAGAGTCACAATAGTCAAAGCAATTCTAAGTAAAATGAACAAAGCCAGAGGCGTCACACTACTCGACTTCAAACTATACAAGCCTACAGTAACCAAAACAGCATGGTACTGGTGCAAAAACAGATATACAGACCAATGGAACAGAATGGAGAAGCCAGAAATAAAGCTGTACACCTACAATCATCTGATCTTTGACAAAATCAACAAAAACGAGCATGGGGAAAGGATGCACTCTTCAATCAATGGTGCTGGAATAACCAGGTATCCATATGCAGAAGACTGAAACTGGACCCCTTCCTTACACCATTTTAAAAATCAACTGAAGATGAATTAAAGACTTATATATAAAACCTAAAACTATACAAATCCTAGAAGAAAACACAAAACACCCCATTCTGAACACATGCCATGGCAAAGATCTCATGATGAAGTCTCCAAAAGCAATTGCAATAAAACCAAAAATAGAGAGATAGGACCTAATTAAACTAAAGAGCTTCTAGAGCACAGCAAAAGAAACTATCAAAGCAGTAAACAGATAACCTACAGAACTGGAGAAAATATTTGCAAACTATGGATCTGACAAAGTTCTAATATACAGAATATATAAGGAACTTTAACAAATCAAGCAAAAACAAAACAACCCCATTAAAAAAAGGGCAAAGGACATAAACAGACTTTTGTGACTGCTTCTCAGAAGAGGACAGACACATGGCCAACAAATGTAAAAAATGTGCTCAGTATCACTAATCATCAGAGAAATGCAAATCAGAACCACAATGAAATACAATTTCACAGCAGTCAGAACGGCTATCATTAAAAAGTAAAAAAATAAGTAAATAATGGATGCTGGCTTGGCGAGGTTGCAGAGAAAAGAGAACACTTTTATATGCTGTTGGTAGGAAAGTAAAAGACACCATGGAAAGCATTTTGGAGCTCTTCTCGAAGAACTTAAAACAGAACTACCATTCGACCCAGCAACCCCATTATTGGGTATACACCCAAAGGAACATAAATCATTCTACCAAAAAAGACACAGCATTCATATGGTCATCACAACACTATTCACAATAGCAAAGACAGAATCAACCTAGATGCCCATCAATGGTGGACTGGATAAAGAAAATGGGTACATATGCAACAGGAAACACTACGCACCCATAAAAAAGGAAGTCATGTTGGTTGCAACAACATGGATGCAGCTGGAGGTCATTATCCTAAGCAAATTAATGCAAGAACAGAAAATCAAATACCTCATGTTCTCACTTACAAATAGGAACAAAACATTAAGCACATATGGATACAAAGGTGGGAACAACAGTCACCAAGGTCTACTTGAGAATGAAGGGTGGGAGAAGGGTGAAAGTGGGAAAACTATCTGTGGGTTGCTATGACCACTATCTAGGTGATGAAATTATCTGTACACCGAACGCCAGTGACACACAATTTACTTGGGTAACAAATCTGCACATGTATACCCTGAACCTAAAATAAAAGTTAAAAAAGGAAAACCAACAAAAATAATTTAAAAATTTAAAAAATTAAAAGAAAAATGTATTTTAGGTATCTGTCAAGTTTCGGGAGCAATTCTGTACTCTTCTCAAGGTAGGACTTACAGATTCAGATCTTTTGTGGTGTAGTGTCATCCTCATTGCCTCTATCAAGTTATTATAGCAGTTAGGTAATTACTCATGGGCATTTCAATTTAAGTAAAAAATGTATTGACTAAGCACTATCTTCAAGATATTGTGTTGATTACTGAAGGAGAAACAAAGAAAAACACAACCCAGTTCTTGTTTTTATGGAGTTTATAATTTACTAGGAGGATATCATGAAGTAGGAGGCCACTCCCTGTACCTTTATACACACACAGTGGCCAAATTGTACTCTACAATTACTTGCTTGTTAGATTGGTGAGAATGACCTCAGCAAGGGCAGGGTGACCCCAGGCACAGCCTATTTGACATTTTGTTTTAGTCAAGGTTTGATTTTTACTAAACTCCAATATCTTATGTCAAGGGCATTTATAGAATGAGATAACCCACAAACTCATGACTCAATGGATACAAGAGAAAATTGCATTTCTTAATTCTACCATTTTTAAGAGCTAAATAATTATTAAACATTGTGTAAATCATACACACCATGAACTTTCAGGATAAAAAGTCCTACTCATTACAAAGTTCAATTGTCACTTTAATTTTGTTTTCTGTTACATTCTGGCATTTAATTAAGATTACTTTTAAATAAATAAGTCAGTGGTTGACCAGTTTTTCCTGTAAAGGGCCAGATTGTACATATTTTAGTCATTGAATGCCACAGGATGTGTTACAAATATTAAATTTTGCCCCTATATCATGAAAATAGCCAATGACAATACTTAAATGAATGACTGTGGCTGTGTTGCCATAAAACTTTATAGACACTGAAAGTTGAATTTCATATAATCATATGATTCTTCTCTTGAATTTCTCAACCATTTAGAAACGTAAAAAGGTATTTTTAGCTTGCAGGTCATACCAAAAGAGCTGGCAGGCTATTTTGATCTGTGGGTCATAGTCTGCCAACCCCTGAGTTAAGCAATCAATTATATTTTATTCATGCTTCTTTCTAATATTTTAAGACAGACTTACTTTCATAATTAAATGTCTTCCTTTTTATCAAAGAAAATGTTTTTATCTAGCTTTCTGTAACTTCCCTTTTTCTATATTGTAGGTCATTGTTTTGTTTCCATGACTCCAAGAACCTTTTTTTCTTTATAAACATCATGTTATTAAATAATTATAGACAAGAAACATAGCTAAGATAACTCACCAAATTGATTTGCAGAGTTTTTTCCCAGTTTTTCTCATTATTCACTCCAGCATTATTGACCAAAATGTCCAATCTTCCAAAGTGGTCTACAACTTTTCTAAAAGTGTCTAATTATAAAACAAGACATTATTGATACATTCTTATTTTCCATGTATACATTTAAATCATGTCCTGTGCCATGAGAGGGATTTCAGTTTAGTTACCCTCATACTGAAAATTATTCAACTCATGGGCTGACTGTAATTAATTCCTTGCTTCTCAGCGTGTGGTTTGTGGACTAGAAGCATCAATCTGGCAGCTTGGTAAGAATGCAGAAATTTGCAGACACCACAGACCAACTGAGTAAGAATCTTAACTTTAACATATTCATATATGATTTGTATGCACATTGAAGTTCTATAAGCAGTAACTTAATGGGGTAAATTTTAGAGAGCTGAGCTAAAATCCTAAGCCAAGAACTCATTGAAGTCAGTTAGGGCAAGCAACATCTCTTAGTCCCTGCGAAGTTACCGAAGCTCTGCAGCTTAGACTATGGTAAACATCCTTTTCTATAAGCCACATTAAATTCATAAAGTGTTATGTTAATACAAGTATTCTTGTGTATTCAGATCTATTATGCATGTTTCGGGGAGTTTTTATATCTTAGCAAAAGTCTACTTTTCATTCAGTTGATTTTATTTGATTACTGAAACTTCGATGTTTACTATTTCCTTCTTTTCTTCTTTCTCACTACTATTATTACTTCAGATTACTAGTTTGTATAAAACTATGTTCAAACAGGATAAAGTTGGCACGGATTCTGAGGCCTGAGTGTCTTTCATTACACTGTCCAATCACATGTCTATTGTTTCTCAAAGCAGCCTTTGACATAGTTCTAATTGATTTAAACTGTTTCCCTGAGCCTTTGATCATTCATTCTACTTATATTATTTTACACTATGGATAAAAATTGTGGTTATTTTTCTATATGACAGAAATATATTCTCAGGTCTCCAGGCCAACATATGAAGTCCTTAAAAACAGTAGGTCAGCATAAGCTTAATTTTGATTGAAATAAATTCATATAATCATTACCAACCACCAGACATATTGGGGAAGACATGGATTAATCAGTTCCCATACGGATAAATTACTATGCTAGTTGTTTACTAAAAATATTTTCAAGATTTCCTAATATGCACCTTTTACACTCACTGCACGGGAATGGAAGAACAACAAAATACAATACAAACTGTTTACTTTTTCATGGATTTTTTTTTTTTTTTTTTTTTTTTGAGTCAGAGTCTTGCTCTGTCTCCCAGGCTGGAGTGCAGTGGTGTGATCTCGGCTCACTGCAAGCTCCACCTCCTGGGTTCCCGCCATTCTCCTGCCTCAGCCTCCCAAGTAGCTGGGACTAGGGGCGCCCGCCACCACGCCCGGCTAATTTTTAGTATTTTTAGTAGAGACGGGGTTTCCCCATGTTAGCCAGGATGGTCTCGATCTCCTGACCTCGTTATCCGCCCGCCTCTGCTTCCAAAAGTGCTGGGATTACAAGTGTGAGCCACTGCACCTGGCCTTTTTCATAGAATTTTAAAACGGTTTCTTAAGATCTCAAATTGGGTCCAGAAAAGGTCCCCCAGTATTTTTTTTTTCTCTTCTATTCTGAGTATGTTCTAACTCTTCATAACTCCACAGAAACAACTTTCACGTTTTGGAAAATGAGAGTGTTAAATATGTATATCTAATTGCCGCTTTAATTTTCTTTCCTCTTTCTATTCTCCACCGTATTCCTTATACTTTGCCCTTCCCAATGTATAGTATACCATCTCGTTTTCTGACATCCCATTGAATTCCAGGCTCAAGCAACCTACGGTCTAGCTCTTGCTGACATTTATATGCTGTGGTACTCTTTGCAATTTATCTAAACTCTCTTGGCTGCAATTTGTTCATTTGTAAAATAAGTTATGTCTAGATTATCTCCAAGAACCTTTTCACCTCATATGTTTATAATTTCCATACTGTCTAAACGGTTCTAAAAGTTGTAGGCAACATTAAATCCTGAAATTGGAAAAATCAATGTCATGTTTTCTTTAGATGCAAACAAATGCTGATGCCCAGACAACATGTGGATTTCTCATGACCAACATGCCTTCCCGGGTCACTCATTATGTGTCTGAGTTTTTTTCCTCCTCCACAATCACTTATCCTTAAGGAATGTGTTTATAGCCAATATACTAATTTTAAATACTGGGACAAAAACAATTAGTACAATTAGTAGTTAAATGTCATTTATGAAACTATATAAATTAAGACAGAAATGGCTTTCAGATTGTGTATACTGTTCCTTATTCCATCACCATTAATATTAAGATCTGACCTGGCTCTATCCTTCATCCAAAATATCATGTACTATCAACATAATTGTCCTCTGGCACAATATGTTCCTCTTGTACTGTGTTTCCAAATCTGTTCTGCTCATGCTTGTCATCTGTGTTATAGGTCTTTACTAGCATTTTCAGATTGCAGTTATGTAATTTCCTTTACAATTTCTCTTAACTGTGGGTACACCACTTCCTTCTAACACATCAGTTCACTTTCCTTCTCTTACAGAATATTTTAAAATTTTAAAATAAATTTACACTTGATGTCCCTTTAAGAACAGGAGCACTGGAATAAGATTTGCAAAAGTTTTCGGACCCCTTGATTGAAAAGTGCCTAACAATTTACTCAGTCTCTTTGAATAAAACTTTGTGAAATACAAATATTTTACTTTTCTAGTTTTTCTCCAGAATTTTTTTTTCCTGTAAGTTTATTGGGGCACTCTCAAGTTCTCCAGTAGATGTACAAGAAAAAAAAAAAAAGAAAAAAAACAGCTTTATAATCAAAGCTGTTTATTGTGTATGCCAATATTGTCCCTGATACTTCACAAGTAGATTGGTCTATTTTAAGTGAGTAGCCGGAAACAGGAAAGCATTGAGGAAAGGCTGATAGAGATGTTTCTACTACAATTCTAACATTGTATAGTTTATTATGATTACTATTACTATTATTTTAAAGTACTGTCTCATTGGGGAAAAAGCCAGAGAAAACATATGGTCAAAAGCATCTAGCACTTCTGTGATGATGTTCCTTGAACTTGTATTCCGATATGTTTAAAACAACCATACTGCCACATTTGACTGTCATTGGCCAGCTTTCTGGGAGAAGTTGTTTGTCAGGAGTGCCTTAGCGTACTTTAATCTTCCAAGTTTTGTCTGCAATTTCAGTCATTTAATAATTACTGAAGCAGCACTGTCTTTGAATACATAGAGGAATTTTGATTACATTAAGTGCTGCCAAATGACTACACTAAAAGGATTTCTCCAGCAGTCTTGCCTTTCTTTCGGTTTTACAGCAATTAGGCTGTCAGAAGGAAACCTATCAGTCCAAACTGTCTTTTGGAGCTTCAAGATAGCTGCTCTGGAGGAGGCAGCGGAGGCTGCACCCAGGGCCCCCTGGCCCGGCTGCCTTCAGGTTGTTGCTTGCTCAGAGCACGTTCCGTTCCCAGTTGACAGATTGATTCCCCTGTCTTACCTCTCAGTTGTTGCTGGTCAGCCACATCGCACTGGATGAACAAAGTCTTCTGAGGTTCAAACTGCTCATCCAGGGCAGCTTTACACTGTACACCTGCTTCAAGATTCCAATCCACCAGCGCTACCTATAGACAAGAGGAGAGGAATCGCGGGCCTGCGCAGCTCACGAAACAGACGGACAAACAATAAACACACAAGAGGCTCCCCTCCTGGACCTGAAATGTGGCAATTAGGTTCGGGTTCCCTCCCAGCCACTTTTGAGGTGTGCTCACAGCCTCAGCTTCAGCAAATTTTGGAAGTGGAGTGGGCACGCGGGGCGCGGCCTCCCCGTCTCCGCCAGTGCACCTCGGGCGGCGGGGCGAGTCTCCGAGTGTGTGAGCAGAGAAATTTCCGCGGCTGGGCGCCGGGCTTACCTTGGCGCCCTTAAGCAGCAGCGCCTCTGCAAAGGCTCTGCCTATGCCCTGAGCCGCGCCGGTCACCAGCGCCACTTTGCCGTTCACGTGCATGATGCAGCCACTGCTGGGGCGGGCGGTGGGCGAGCTCCGCGTCTCCGCGCGGCCACGGCTTTTATGTCCCCCCTGCGCGCGCGCGCGTGCAGCCCGGCGGGGCGCTCCCCTGCCAGTGGGCGGGGAGGAAACTGTCAAGCCAGCCCCCGCCGGGGAACCCACGACTGTGTCACCTGCCCCCTGAGCGCTCCGGAGAGCCAAGCTTCGCGATCTTTGCCTTCGGGACTCGCAGCCCTGCTCAAAGCCTCCCCTCAGCCTCTGGCTCCGTGATTGGCAGACAGCTGACAGAAGAAAAGTTAAAAGGTTATTTCTGAAGAAGAGTTTCCTTCAGTGTCCTAAAGACCAACTGGATAGAAGGAGAGCGGAGCAGAGGCTTGCAAGCTTGGATTCCTCCTCCTGCACTCCTTCCCGGCCCCGACTCGGGAACCAAACAAGCAAACAATAAAGCAGACTTGTTGCTCTTTTGTCTCAAAGTTTTGTGTGAGTTCCCATGTCATAATCACTGGGGTTGAGGGTGACGGGGAGCAGAAGTAACTAATACCATTGTTTTTTTCTTAGTTACATTTTGGACAAATTTTTACACATACTGGAGATGAGAAGTGAACTCTGCTCTGTCCTGAAAACCTGGAATCATAACATTTCAAGGCTAGGACTAGAGTGTCCTTGGCGCTGTGTTTCTGATCAGTGTCAATTGTGTGTCATATTGAGATATCCCCACAAGAACTGCCATCATCAACAGGCCCTCCAGACCCGCTGGTAGCCTAGCAAATTGTTGGCTCAATGGAATGTTTACTTGCTGAAATATGCCAACTTTGGAAGCTCTGAGTCAAGTTTGGGACAGAGGTTCCTTGCTCTCCAGGAACTCCAGGACTAGCTGTATGTGGACTTGCATTCAGCAAGGGCTATTCCACTGACCTTTTTCTCTTTTTCTCATGTTGTCAGAGGCAGGCTGCAATTTTAATTCTGTAAACGTAATTGGTTGACTTTTTATTTTTTTTTTAAATCTTGAGACAAGATCTTGCTTTGTCTCCCTGGCTAGAATGCAGTGGCATAACCTCAGCTCACTACAACCTAAATCTCTAGGGCTCAAGCGATCCTCCCACCCTAGACTCCCCAAAAGTGCTGAGATTACAGGCATGCGCCACTGTGCCCAGCTGGCATTTATTTTCTTAAAGAAAAAAAAAATTCTAAATACTTGGGGGAAATGGGAGTTGAGCAAAAGATTGAGATTAACCGCAGAATAAATCATTTTTATATCTTCTTTGCCTGTTTCCAAGGGAGACACTGGGAAAGGTGGCTGGCTGGGCAGGGAAGGAGTGTATGAGGAGACTGTGTAAAATGTGTCTTGTCGTGTTGTTGGTAAGCTGCTAAGCAAATGTCTTTAACGTTAATTTGAAATTAGGTCTTGACAAAATGTTGAGAAAGTAAGACAGGAAGATAGATGTTTAAGGATGATAATTAAAATTGTAATATGAAGAGTAAACTGAGGGGTCATATTGAAAGGAAATAATAGTAGAAGACAAAAAGAAAACAAGGAACCGAACAAAACTTCAGCTCCTCTAATGGCATGCACAGAACATAGAAGTTTCTGATGAAGGAACTGGCAAAAAAGGCAGAAAAGGAACTACTGGGGTAACATGGGAACATGTTGGGAGAACACAGGTTTGCAGTTTTTGTGGGAGAAGTAGTTTCAAGAAGAAAGAAGTAGTTAATAATGCAAAGTACTCAGGTGAGCACCAGGGAATAAAGGATGGAGAAATATTTTGAATTTTTCAGGACAATATTTAGTGTGAGTAAATTTAGAAGGCACAAAAACTGAACAGCTGGAATTAAAGCAGAAAATGACCTGTGAGAAGACAGATATTGTCATGGACTGAAGACCAAGGTTACATGGAAAGAGAAATGGACTGGATAGTAGTTGAAAAGATTAGATAGCAAATATGTTTTTCTTTTAAGAAAAGACAAGAAGATTCATTGAGGTCAAAGTGCAACGAGTCAAGGATAGTGACAAGTGGAAGAACAGGAAGAAGTCTGGCAGTGGGTGAGTGAGGCACAAGGGCATCAGCATTGGGTTTGGATCTTGTGTCTGCTACTGACCAGCTGTGTAACCTTGGGCAATTTGCTTCAACTCTGGGTCTCAGGTTCCTTATTATAAAGTAAGCTTTTCTAAAAAAAAAATGGTGAAAATTAAAATAGGTAAAACATATTAAAAACTATTACAGAGCTTGCCACAAAGTAATGTTACATTAATAGTAGTCCCAACATATTACTTCTGAAATATTTATGAATAATAAATGTGAGATAGAGAGAAGTGTGAGGAATAGGTTTTTTTAGTAGATAGCAAGGACTGAGGTCTAGAGAAAAGTTAGTACCCCTTCATCCCTTTCCCTCCTCTCAATTTCCACTGCCACTGTCCAGATTCATATTTTCTCCTATGATAGCAACAGCAGTTAGCTTCTCATTGCCTCCAAATTCCCCTCCCCCCGCTTTTTTTTTCATTGTGAGATGCTTTATTACAGTGAATTAAACTGTTTACCAAACCGTGATCTCTGTAAGGAAGGATTTTTCCCCTTTTTAGTTGATATGTAATAACTGTACATATTTATGTGATCTATATATACAAAGTGATATATATGTACAGAGTGATGCATCAATACATGTATACAATGTATAGTGATAAAATCAGGATTGCTTGTGTTGTATACATTCAAAATCCTCTCTTCTAGCTTTTAGAACCTATACACTAAACTATTGTTAACCATATTCACCCTACATGTGTTCTAGAAAACACTAGAACTTATCCTCTACTCTAGCTGTTTCTTCATATCCATTAACCAACCTCTCCCTATACACACCTCCCCTTACCCTTCCCAGCATCTGATAGCCACAATTCTACTCTCTACTTCTATAAGGTTTTGTGTTGTTTTAGCTTTCACATATGACTGAGAACATGCAATATTTATTTTTCTGTACCTGACTTATTTCATTTAATTGCTCCACATTTCTTACATCTAATTTAGCTTCTGCACTTCTCCTAGGAAAATTTCTAAAACTGATCTGATCATGTTTAGATATCCTCATGTTTAAAATCCTTAAAATATCTAAACTCCTGGGCATCACATCTGAGGTGTCCCATGCCCCGTGTCTTTCTTGTGGCCCTTCTTTACATGCCAGGAAGCCATGTGTCAGTCACAGGTTTATCATCCCTAATCTAAAAATCTGAAATTCAAAGTGGTCCAAAATCTGAGCCTTCCTGGACTGCAATGTAAGCAAGATATAAACTTCTAATCTGTTGGGCCTTTGCATGTTTGCTTCTATTTGCTGTCATAGCCTAACCTAATATATCTCCCAATAGAAAAAATCCTCCCAAATGTCCCTGATGACCAAATCATGTAGAACACTGAGCAAATTAAATCTTTTTGGTAGATAGTAGTCAGGCCAACCAAATTGGCTAACCTACTAGATCATTTATTGCCATAAAGTCTCCAAATAGACATAAATCACTTATCTAACAAAATAAAGATAGTGTCATTATACACTGCCTCCCTGGTCCCCACTCCTAAGCAATAATCTTTTTTAAATGAAAGATTTTGTTAAAAAGTGCTCCAAAAATCTGAAACATGACAAGTGGAAAATTCCACATGTAAGTACTTAATACAAAGTTGGTTTCCTGTACAAAATTATTAAAACACATAAGATTATTTTCAGGCTATATGTATAATATGAATATGAAACAAATAAATTTTGTGGTTAGACTTAGGTCCCAGCCCCAAGATATCTCATTATGTACATGCAAATACTACGAAATCCCCCCAAAATTCTGAAATATGAAAATTCTTCTAGTCCTAAGCATTTTGGATAAGGGACACTCACATGTATAGCCTATAAATAAGAATATTTTTACAAAATTATATGGATGATGGTTTATCTCAAATTTAACTTCTTTTTTGCTAAGAATTATGTTTTTTATAACACAAATCACTGTGATGACAGAAATATATCGCTAATATAAGTGAAAGTATATAATGTCCTGAACATAGAAGCTGAGAAATGCATATAAAAATCAGAAGAGTGGGGAGACGTTGACTGGGTAAGCAGCCCTTTTCTGGTTTTATAATATACCACATATAATGTTCCATAGATATTTTAAATTCAAAATGGAATTTTAATGTAAAATATGAGAACATTCTTCTCCAAAAACCCATTTTCAATATATTTCTGTTATATAAAAAGATAATCACAACCTATGGGAAATCTCACCATCCTATTAAAATTTTCCATCTTCTCTTGAACACATATCTCATATTTATCTCTACTTTTCTTTGGTCAGCGTGTATTGCGCATGTACTTTGGGTGGCGCTGTGCTGCATCAGCTGGAAGGGATCCAGAGAAAAAGACACAGTCCTCTTTGAAGACACCCAGAGACTGTAAGCTCCTTATGATCCTGTGATTGGTGTTTCCATGGTAGAGATCTGATAGCTGCATAAGAAAACAGTTGAAGAAAGTGGGAGGGCAAAGATACTTAGAGGAGCGAGCATCAAATGTCAAAGGCCTGAAGGCATGGAGAGTGGGTATGTTTGAAATGACACATGGCTTCCTAGCATGTAGAGAGCTGTATTTGATTTAGTTTTTCAAACAAAGTGCTCTTAAAATAAAAACAAATGCAACACACTGATGCCAAGTTAAGAGAGGTGATTATTCCTTTAACGCAATGAGAAGTGTTGATTGTTGAATATTTACTCAGAAGCAGGCATCTCTTATTGTCTACACGCACAGCCTCTGCAATCAGACTGCTTGGGCTTGAATCCAGCTCCACCATCTACTAGCTCTGTGACCTTTGGATAGTTAGTTACTTAATTTCTCTGAATCTCAGCTTCCTCATCAGTAAAATGAGGATAATAACAACACCTATTTCATAAAGTTGTTGTGAAGATTGTACTAAGTTAGATACAAGTCAAGTGCTTAGACCAGTGACTGGCACATAGCATATGTTACATAAGTGCTATTATCATTAAGCAGTATACATATATAATTGCATTTATTATTTACAACCAAGCTGTGAGGTAGTTGTTATTGTGGTCATTTTACAGATGAGAAAAACACGTTTAAGGAGTTTGGGGAATCTGGTCAAGGTCACTTATCTAGAAAATGAAGGAGGAAGCTTTGACTCAAGGTGTGGCTGACTCCTATTACTTCTTTTTTGAAAATTAAACTCTTAATTTTGAGATAACTGTAGCTGAGCAGTACATTTAGCCCTGTCTGAATGGTGATTTATTTAAGAAATAGAAGTTGAAAATAGACTGAAATCAGCACTCATGAGCAAATATATATTTTTCCATACCCTAGTGTCTGTCAGCTCAGTTCTGATCTGTTAGGCCAGGCTAGTCTTAAATTCATTTTTCCTTCATCCCATGCACAGTGGTGAGCACAGACATTCCAAGAA